GCCAATGATCTAATTACGTGATGTGATTATCCTGAGACTATTTGAATGTACACAAGGAAACCGCCCAGAGAAGGTGAAATGTGTGAACGCATTAAAAATTACGTTGTAGTCGTGTCGCATGATTTGGAGCACTTCCTGTACGTCTCATAAGAAACGACAGCAAAAGCATCTTTTTATGAACTTTTTTTTTATTTTGATAATTATATACAGGTCTGAGCACATTCATCATGATTCTCACACAAGAGTCTTAAGTGCACTCCCTTCATAGTACAAATGTTCGTAAAACTTTCATTTACAATTCAGATTAAAAGCGACTTGATAAGATTCGAATTTGGAAAAATTAACATTGTGCAATACACATTGCCTTTTTATTGACAGGATTTTGTCAAAGCTGTCTTGTTTAAGAGCAAGGTAAACCTATTTTCATGCAGTTCTGATATCTATAATTGATCAATTCAGAAAGCATCCAAGCCAAAAAATTAATATGAATGAAAAATGCCTTCTAAGGTGGGGACATATTTTAAAATTTCGAGCTGCAAGTATACACACCAAAATATAGATAGGTTTCGTATATTTATTTACAATACATGTCCATAATTTAATCAACAAATGTAGTCACACTAATTGCAGAAAGTCACAAGTCACTTTCTGCAATAAGCAATGTTAACAGAAATATGTGATTTTGTGTTTCTGCCTGTAGTGAGAATATAATGCAAACATTACTTGGATGCATTGTGAAAATTAAAGGAATAGTGCTCAGCTGTCTAGAGTGTGCCATTCCTTAATTTTTATTTTTATTTTCATTAGTTAGTTGCTTTTTGCCCAAAGCCACTCAGTTATAATGTACAAAAGAAAATAGTAGAAATCATTTTCTTCTGAGGTCAGTATCAGCATCCTACTACAAGAGAAACGCATATTCTTTTATTCACACTGATTGGAAAAGCAATTTCACAATCTTGTATTATTACATAATTTTGTTCCTGACTAAGCAACCGAAGAAACTAGTATTGATTATACATGATATCATACATGTTAAAATAAATATTGGCTGTATTTCCAAGTTTTAATTTGAATAATTTCTTTGTTATTCCTCTCTAATTTTAAACATTCTATTTCCTTCCTTCACTTGGTTAGCATTTCAATGTTGGTCCACCCTCTTTCCAGCTGCCTTCTATTGCCACCCAAGTTCATTTTTTTTTACTTTTTCTCAATTTCTCAGTACCGTGATGGTAGAACGAATAGCCCTGTAAGAATATTATACAAGACCAGGTCCTATACGGAAATTTCCATTGCAAAATTTGGGGCCCTCTTTGAGAATTGTCTATTTTGAGCATTTCTGAAAATGCACAATTTTTATCTAATTTTCACAGAAACCTAGTGAGTTTTTAAAATACCATTGGAAATTGTTTGAAGCACTTCTACTCACAAATGCAATAATATATACAAATCATGAATAATGTAAATATTAACCAATAGGAAATATTTTAAAATGGTGTTTATGTCATCTAATACAGTCGATTAGCACTGTCCTTAGAAGAAATTTAGAGCTGTTTTTGAGAAAACGGTGGTTGAATGTATCAGAAAATGTGGAGATTTGAGTTCATTTTCTCAGACCACTTTTTGAGTATTCAATAAATTTTATAAAACATTATATGAAGCCCTTGTACTCATAAATGCAATAAAGTGTACAAACCATTAGTAATGTAAATATAAATAATCTGAGAGATATTTAAAAAAATTACATTTGTGTAATTTTGAAAAAAAACAACAAAAGAATACAGCAAAATGGCAATTGTCATCTTAGTTCGAATTGATCACACTCCATACAAATAATTTTGAGTAGCTTTTGAGGAAATCTTTTTAATTTGTTTTAATTTGTCCCGTATTGCACTCAGAGGAAATATTTATATTTTCAAAAGAATGTACATAATGTTAATTAAAGAATTGTGGAGAACAAATTTTGTTTGAAGAGAAAGTCCCTATCTTCAATATTATCTGACTTAGACTATCAGATGGCCAAAATCGTTAGGGCAGAAGTGCCATAGCAGTCTCAGAGCAGAAGACCGTGGTCTATATGTGTCCCTTCATCCTTCACCATTATCATCATCATCTCATCTTCCATACCCCCAGGGCTAACAACCCTGGGGGATAAAAATTGCGATTCAGCTAAAATGATGATCCCCCCCGTCCAGAAAGGTGCAGAAAGAAACGAGCTGAAGCAGGATGCACATGTGGTTCAAGTTGGCCTATACGCAGGGAGGGAAAACAAAGAAGAGAAAAGAATTGGCAAACTCTGGCCTTTCCCTTTGCTATGTGCCTGATGTATTTCATACTGTATGTTTACTTTTCTTAATTTAAATATAAAAATTGTTTTATGTGTAATATATGTAACCATCTGTAACATTAGTGACCGATTCTCATGACTTGGAAAAGTTACTCCATTTATGGTTAAAAAAAAAAAAAAAAAAAAAAAAAGTAGGAGCAACATTTTTCAACCTTGAAGCTTTGCAAAGGTCTCTAGGCTCTACATCATAAAGCTTCAAGAATTTGGAATTTGCAATAACACAAATTGACTTAATCATTTGTACATTTTGTTAGACTACAATACGCTAGGCAGTAATTTTTCTCCTTTTTTATTGTTCAATTTTTGTAATAATTCATTCATATTCCTGTTTGAATTGTATAAAATTATATTGGTTTCAAAAAAATTAGTAATAAATGTAATTCTAAACAATTTGGTTTATTACCGTACATTTATACTCTATTATTTCTTCATTATATTCTCTGGCATCACTAGCCAAATTCATCAACTGAAGTCATGGAGGTTAAGCAAATTTGAGATATCATGATATCCTGGTTGTGTGACTGCCTAGAAACTCAGGCGTCGAGCCCCTGGCCAAAGGGATGAAAGTCAATGACTGATTAGATTAAATGAATATTACTCCAATCATTTGATGCAAACAGGTGACTATAGAACATTGTTACAAAATCCACAAAACTATTTGGTTTCACAAAAAGTTCACTCTTTTGGTTCTTCTTTACCTTTTCTCTTGTTATTACTATAATAGAATAAATTGAATTTTTAATTCAAAATTCAACTATTTTTTTTCTGCTGAAAAAATTCTGTGTGAATTTTAAATATGAGTATTTATCATTGTAATAGTAACTATTCTAATATTTTTTAGTAATTTTATCAGGCTTAAGAATTTTGTTGTGAAAAGTAATTTTATTGAGAAAAGTTTATTGACTTCTTGTCTTAGTAGGGAATATTTTTATGTAATGCTTATTGCCTGGTCAGTTTCTTTTCAAAAAGCTCTCTGAAGTATTACTATCAAAATATAGTTTTCCAAAAAGTAGCACACACCCTTCTCAAAAACCACAAATAAAATACTTTTGCATATTTGCAATAAATTAAATATTTTAACAGAAACGCTCTTCGCAATTACTGCAATAACATAGTGTAATGAATAGATATATTCAGTGCAACAATTCTTTACGTATCAAGAATATCAAATAAGTTGTTCCATAATGCAATATACTATGCTATATAGTTTAAAGGAATAGTAAATTTTTAATGGCTGTTAGACTCTTCTTTGGAGCCTTACTATGTCTTCTGAATTACCAGAGGTGACCCTCTTAACATGAGCATTGTCTGTACATGCAGTATGAGAATAGGCAGAATAACACAATCAAATCTTTGCATATTTGAGTGAAAATCAGAATTGTTTCCTGTTTTTGGATTTTTCTTGATTTTCTGGGTATTTAATGAAACCATAATGCTTCTCACATGCCAGAAAGTTTCAATTATTTTTTTTTCAATTTCTGTGCATATTGAAAATTAGTAATATAACCCAGTATTAAATTCTATAAGCTTTCAAATGAATCCTCAATCACCTCACTGGGTGGTCTGGAAGCAACCAACTGTTACCAAATGTTAGAACCCTTGCGTTTCTTGCAGATAATAGAGGATGGGGACCCCTATTTAAAAAAATACCCATTCCTCATGCTTTCAAATGAGATCATAACACTCTCTGGAGGCAATCTGAGGAATTCATATCTGAAAACACCAATTAGGTCATTAGCTCTTTATATATTACTACATAAATAAGTCCACCAATGTGAACATTCTGTCAAGAAATGAAACAAAACACTACACTGAACAATTAAAGAATACATCATTTTACTGAGCTTTTAATTAAAAGAAACATTGAATGAAAAAAATAAGTAAATGTACATTTTACATTTATAAAACATTAAGTCTTTAAATTGATATTAAATGGAGTAAATCATATTTAAGTGAAACACACTCTCCAGACTTTCGTATGAGCCCTCAACAACCTCTGAAAGGGGCCTTCAAGCTTCCCATGCACTCCAAACGTTAGGAAAGCATCCCTGGACCCCATTTATTCATCGGGGTGGCGGTCCCTATTTGAAGATTGATCTGCATCCCAAGCTTCTTAATAAGACCTCAATTAAGACTGTATATGCTCTGAGGACTTCACAATTGGAACCAAACATTAAGCGCTTAGGTCTTAATATATTATGATGATATGAAATAGGGAGCATTGCAAAAAGTGATTGGATTTCACCAAACTATGTTTAGACAACAGAATAGTAAAACCTGTCTAAGACGAAACATTACAGTTCCTTCAAAAAATTTCTGTTTTGGCAGGTTTTCCTCTTATAGAGGGTTGCCAAAAATTCAACATTTAACTTAAGTACAGTATTTTTATATAATTTTGCTAGTGAAACAAAGTAATGAAAAAAAGCATTTTTATCAATGTAAACATTGCAGAAAATGAGTATATAAACAGAAAAATACAAAGTGGAATATGAGATGAGCATATATTCCACGTTTTACAAATAAATCGAGTATATGTAGTATATACTATACTAGAATAAGATAGAATTCTCAGTACTCAATTGTTGGCTGAAGGGAATGTGGTGACACTTTTGAGAATTGAACAGGGTGTAGACAACCAACATAAATATTTGGAGGGACAGTGAGAAAGTCAAGAAAATCTAACCAAAGTTTGACAAAGCGAAACAGTTGCAGAAGTGGCCAATGATTCACCGACAGCTGGTATAAGAGGAAAAACTCATCATTCACTCTATTGTCTCATGATGTGACCCTTGAATTATGCCATTCCAAAGATATTGCTAGAAATTTAAAAATAAATGTTCATCTTAGCTAGGTAATAGTCCCTTTACGTTCTCCAAAAACTTTTCCATTTCCACTTTGGACAGGTTTCCGCTTCTAGTGGTTATTTTCACATATAAAGTTGTTTCGTTCTGAGATTTTTTGTCCGCAAAGTTTCCATATTACAAAGGTTCTGCCTTAGACACATTTTACTGTATTAGTGGAAAAGTCTCTTGACAGAGACAGAAAAAAAGTGTTGTTCTAATAACAAAAATAGAAAACGTTTTCTAGCAACTTACCATGGGAAAGTAATGGGAACAAATGAAATAAGAAAAGAAATAAATTAGTTATTGGTATTTATCTTACGATTTTAAGATTTCTAGTTTTGGCCTTTTTCTGAACTTGCCTTTTTTAAAATTTTGCTTTAAAGTTCAACAATTTAATATTGATCTGAGAATTCCTTCAGCCAAACTCAATATCTAGATTGAATTTTATATAATTGCAGAAAACCCTACATTTTCTTGATCAAAAAATAATTGGTAATAATAAAATATAAATAAAATAAAATATTTTTTGCCATTAAAATGAACATTAGGTTAATATTTTGCTTACTCAATGATGGATGGCGCGAAGGCCTCAAGATAGACACTGTTTGTATGCTTTGAAACTCCACAGAAATTATCAAGGTTTTTCATGAAATTACTTTTAAAACTTTTAATTTATATTTTCGTTCAAGTTTCACGTAAATTATGTTTTATGTCAGGAAAAAATATTTTTGATTCTTATGTAAAGAAAAAAAAATTTAAATATTCAGTTGACCTATATTAGAAAATAGAATTATTGAGAGATGAAGTCCATTTCATTTTACATTTTATAAACCTGACTTCTAAGAAAATCTATTGGTGTCCTCTGCATGTATTTTCTCAAAATATTATATTTTCTACTAATTTCTGTCAACTCTTAAAGTTCCTTAAAACATCTCATGTACATGACCTTGCTTATTAAGATAACCCTCTTAAATGTTATCTAATAGTAGTATCTTCTCTTTTCAAGTGTGTCTCATAATTTTAGATGCATCTCTTTACTTATTTATGTCAAAAACAGTTAAAAACTCTGTGTAGGGAGAAGTTACTTTGAAGTTACATTTATTTTAACTTTTCTCCATTAACATTTTCTTTTTTGTTGGTTGACTTATATCTTGGTCTGACTCTTACATTCATATTTTTCAGATTTACTCTTGCCTTGCCTGTTACTTAATAAAAACTCTGCCTCTGTTTTAGATTCATACCAAAAATTAGTTTGTTTATAATGTTTATATATGCTAAATTGTAATAATATCAGTTATCAGCATTGTAAATGCATGCTAAATTTACTGATAGTTGGAAAAAAATTTCATAACAAAAATGAAATCAATGTAAATATAATTAGTGGTCTGATAGTACTTTCTCAACAATACTGCAGTCCTTTGTATTTATTAGTTTGGGTTGTGTGTGTCCACTGTATGTGTGCTTCTCATTCTCCAAAGAGGATGTATGTGAAAGAAATAGTTTGTTACACTCCCAGTAAGATCATTGTGTGTAGACAAAATATATTTGAGAAGGGTCAGTAAAAATTGCTCAAATTTTTAATTACGTGAAATCGTTTGATTGTACTGGTAATGAACAAACCAAAATGCAGACAAAATTATCCACATACCAAATGCATGATAAATAAATAAAACAGAAGATCAAAATTTAAAGATGTATATTTGGGACACAGTTTACGGAGAGATTTGGTTTAATGGAACTGTCTATGGAATGAAAAGCATAGGTTCAAATCCCATTAATTTATTTAACATCAAGAAATAGAATATGGGAACATGTTAAATTGGCACATGTTTACTTAAGCACCAGAAAGCCTACCACTTCTTTTATTATACTTAGTTGTATTATAAAGGTAGCAACAAATCTTGGCAACAAATGATCAAAAAAATACTGTTTCTATGTTATACATCAGCAAACAGGCTGCAGATTTTATTTGATTGTAATGTGTAAAGCAAGAGGCAAACTATTGACCAATCCTTAGTCATCTGTATTATTCATTGACTCAGAATTGCTTAGCACGCATACCACTCAAAAGTCTAAAATTTACTATAATAATTCAAAACAACTTACAATGAGAGTTGTGAGATACTTCCAGTTCATTAAATTTGGAAAAGAAGTATTATATTTTTTTGGTTCAATTTTTTAGTTTTTTCCATAAAAAATTATTGTACTGATAATGAACAAAACAAAAAGCAGACAGAATTACCCACTAGTGGCATTTTTCATTACCCAATCATCTACCAAGCATGATAAATAAAGCAGAAACTTAAAATTTAACGATGTATAATTGAGACACAGTTTATAAAGAGATTTTGTGTATGGCAACCATGGTGGTGGATTTATTACATTAAAATCAATTATACTGCATATGTATGGGTGTGTAACATTTCAGATATCTAGATCTTTTATATTTTAACCTCATGAAGATTTGTACCATTAAAATATGCCTTGAATATCTCAGTAATTTTATTTTAAAATCAGTTGTTGAAGTTGTGCCATCAAAAAAAAGATGATAGGTTTGCCTGTCATCAAAGTTATCCAGATCCATTTAAATTAATCCATTTTTTCAATATTTATACAATTTTTAGTGTATGGATAGGCATATTATCTAACCACAATGAAATTTTTGCAGGTGATGGAATGCAACAGAATCTTATAATAATATAATGAGCAATAATATTATCAGAAAATAAACAATTTCAATCCACATTTTAAAAAATGTATAAAATTGGAGAGAAATTATTTAAATTAAATCTTGGTAATACACCCAGTAGTTTTTTTTAACATTAGTATTGATTAAAAATAGTATAATTTCTGTTGTGTCTTGGCCAAGAGCAAAATTATATAATACAAGATTGTGTGAAATTGCTTTCTCAAACAGTGTGAATATAAGATGAATGAATTTTGAAACTTAGTGGTATTTTTAAAGATGTAATAAAAAAGAAAAGAAATGTAATTATGTACAGCTGTTTAAATTAGACTAATAGCATGACAGTTTATAGATGCCAAAAGAAACAAATAAGTCTGATTTGTTTAAATTAATTTAGATTTAAATGAAGTATACTTTATTTCATTAAATTCAATTCAACTATGCTTTTGCAAATAAACTTCTTTTCATTCAATAACTCTTCTGAAAGTTACCAAAGCAGCAATCGTCACTATATTTTATTACCGCAGCTCATGGTAATGGAACCAAGCACTAAAACTTTGAAGAGTATCAAAGGTATAAAATCAGAGTTTCACAGTGCATTATTCTCATGTCATCAGGGTGTGGTGAACAAGTATTTGAATGAAGCATGAAATCTAATGATTGACTTATAGAATTGTACATTTCACTTAACTTTCTTTTGCAATAAGAAATTTCTAAGATCTCAAATGTGTTGCTCACTTTTTCAACACGGGGGTTGGAGTTTTGAGTCATCAAATTGCAAGGGTTTCACACAAATTTTCCCTTTCATTTTATTCATTGCCATATTTTCTTTTTCTTTGCTTTTCTTACAATTATTGCTGGTTTCGCTTATTTATAGTGGTTTTCTTTTCATAAATATTTGACGGAGCGTAATATAAATATCTGAAGTATATAGGCACGTAAAAGGCAGAAATGATTAGTTGTGAAGCTGTTTATACAAAACTTTCAATCACGAAGCATTTTGTAAAGATGCTATGCTTGATATAAAAAATTTAAATTTCAGTTAAATGTTCAATGTTTGAGATTTTCCAATTATCACAACTTAATTCCTCAAAACAAACTAGTGACTTGATAGTACGTATGGTAAATAGATCTGTCTAGATGTTGTTTACTAAACAAATTATTATTGAAAGTTGAAAATTAATTGTCCCAAATGACTTGCATGAATTGAATCAAATTGCATAATCACTTGCAAGACTAAAATTTTAACTGGGTTATATTTCATTGAAGCTATTTAATGTTAGTACAGAACGCCACTTTTAATAAATTGTTTCAGAACAAGTGCCATTGCTTAACAATCCACAGGTAAATATTTTTTACCTAGGGGCATGAGTGCATGTTAAGTTTGAGACAAACAGTATTCTGTAACTTTGTTTTAAACAATTGAGGAAAATTTGGTAATGTAAAAACTTCATTTCAAAAAACTGCTGTACAATAATACTGTTTATCTTTATTACACAGGGCTCAAACAACCATGTTATATGGGCATTCCACATTTACTACAAAACTTTACAGAAATCCTACACAAGTCTTCACTGTCCAACATTTTTGGACATTATCTCTCTAGAATTACAAACTCATTGTAAATATATAATAAAATATTATTCTTAAAAAATATCATTTTTTCAATATCTAATTCTTGCAATTCCCCAGCAGTCATACATACATTTTAAAAGATTATTGCATCTTTCAACATTCTCATCAGTTACTGCTTCTGTATATACTATCTATGTTTTTTTTAGCAATTAGCGGAGTAAAAACAAAATAGCTGCCATCTGAAGAGCATTTCCATAACACTACCCACCCCAGATACCTTAAACTTAAATGCCTACAACTAACTCGCAAGTCTTCTTTCGATCTCAAAACTGGAAATAGTCATTAATTGACCTAGGAGTATTAACAGTTCAATGCAATCTCTTGAGTAAGATTGCTTGGCTAATTTAAAAATCGTTGTAAAAGTAGCAAAGCTTTTTTGGATTACTTACGCTAGATAAGTCTTAACCTTTATTCTCAACATTACCTTACATTACTACTATTCATATATCTATAAACTAAGTTTCAGTAGTAGTTAACGTCTATATAATTTTTCCACAATTGGATTCAAATTTACTGAACACATGCAAACAGATCCAATCATTGAAGAAAAGCACCTTTTGATCATTCATGCTTTACGACAGGGTTGTGGTATGACAGAAACCAGGGAAAGTTCTCTGGACAACCCTGCATTTTGGAATTTATTTTTCATTACATCTATTATGAAAGCACTGTGATAAATAGTTCATGTGGACGAACATCTGAAGATCACACTGCACTTGTGCACACAATATGGTTGTTATAATGTTGAATGATTTGGCTACACAAAGGCAAATTCACAGCCAGGAGGGCGTGTTCTTCAGAAGTTCAGCAAAGGCTAGGCTTCAGTCTCTTTGGGAAACTTGTCCTTGCTGGGGTAAATGGGAGACATCTCAAGAGTTGATGGAGCAGTGGGCATGTTGTTGTGCATGTAGTCGCTCAACTTCTGGGTAAATTCGTCCAAAACTTCTCCAAAAACAACCATGTTCATGTTTTGTCCCAGAAGATGCAACAAAAGGAAATCCCCTACCTGCAAATACAGAACAATATTAACAGATTAAAATTAACCTAACATTCTGCAACATCCAATTAAGTAACAATATAATTCTTTGACAAAGAAACTATTTAGGAACAAAAGGCATAAAAGTTGAAATGACACTTCATTCTCTCCAATGTTAATGATCTATTGTGCTTCTATAAAGAAGATTTTCTTTTATAAAAAAAGCAGTTTAAGATACATGTTAGTTTAAATAAAAAATGGTACCTGTGTTTTCTCAACAAGTGTGCTCACAGCCGATGGAGTACTAAATTTGAATCTGCGTCTGATGATTGTTTCACGAGTAGATGGTAGAACAACAATCACTAAACTATACAGTAAAGCAAGTGCTGTTAATGTAGCAAGAATGATGAACCAAAACCACAGGAATATGAAGATCTTCTCATTGATGATATTCAGTGCAAGAACGCACATTGCATCGTGTTTCTGGATTGTTCCTATTGAGATAATTAAAGAATTTTAATTATGGGGAAATATTTCTAGGCAAAAATATAAGCTAGTTTTTTTTTCTAGTTTAGTAATGTTTGTATAATGAGTAAAAGCTAAAACAAAAGGAACTCACCAGAAGGTCCAAATTTGTGGAATGTACACTTAGTAACTCGAGGAAAAACTGCAATCATGGGATCAGTGCGATTTTCTTGATTTTGGCTAGAGAATCGAACCACATCACTACCGTAGGTCATGAATGCTCCTCCGAGGAAAGTATCAAGGAAAAAGATGTTACCCAACTGAAATATTGATTTTCTGCCTTATTAAACTCGTCACAAAGTTACATTCCATTTTCAGAAGCATTATTGACTTCAAATTTTATATCTTACCACATTGACAAAATTGAGGGCCTCGCAAAAAAAGTATCCAAAGGCATAGACGTTATGCATGTGCAGAGTGTCAAACAGGTACTGAACGAGTTTGGACTGGCGTTCCTTTCTGTCTTCTTTTGTGCAACACAAAACGCCTCTCATCCCATCACTGATCATACGCATTTTGCCTTCTTCCCAGTTCTTCCAGAACCAGTGCGGAGTGTAGAAGAGAAGTCCCTGAAAAAACAAAACATTTTGATTGTGAAGATTACTTGTTCAGTAGCATAGCAAAAAATTACTTATGTTGCACGACTCTAGAACTTCAAGACAAAATTCAAGTTCTTTATGCATCATTAATTATTTTCAAATTATTAATGAAAACCAAGTAAATAACATTATCAAACATTTGGAATGCAAAAATTGATAAAATCAAAAGTGCAAACTATTTTTTTTAAAGGATATTAGTCTTCAAGAAAGATGAAGCAGCCAGACAGGTAATAAGTATTGTAACATTTTATAGTTCAGTGTAGGTTGTACAAATTTTTTAAATTATAAATTGACACTCATCAGCAGCAACATTTCTAATGATTCTAATTCATCGAAGGAAAAAGAAATAAATACCAACGAGAAGTACTGCAAATTTACTGTTAATCGGCAGCGACAGGAGTGGTTGCAAATTGTCACTTTTGTACTGTACCTGGAAGAAGAGCATGAAGGGGACCCACTGGTAATAGGCGTGGTAACGCGTCTCGTCCTCGTCGGGCACGTAGCTGCCCAGCCCCGGGTGAGCCACATGCGTCCCCACAGGCTTCCCCTGCTGGTGGGGCAGGGTGAAGGTGGAGGTGATCCAGCAGTAGGTGTTGATGACGTCATATGGCACAGCACCATCGTTGATGCAGCTGATCGGGTCTCCTGCAAAGGAAGAAGAAGAAAAAGCATTAAACGTCGCCTTGCACGCTTTCTCTCAAGGAGAAGATTCGCGCTCGTCACCAAAGCAAATTCCGCTCCTGGGCTGAGCGGGCGTTCGCGGCGACGTCTGGTGATTACCTATGAGTCCGTTGGCCGTGCACAGGATGCAGCAGAGGAAGAGGATGGCGCTGGTGATGCGGTAGTGGAAGCGAAACACCAGGTTGTCGATGATGGCCTTGTCCACGAGGAAGCGCACTTTGATGAAGCCCGCGACGGCGGACACCAGGCCGAACACCGCCATGGCTGCGGGCGGGCGGCTGCTGCTGCTTCACCTGCAACACGACCACCGTCCCAATACCATCACTGTGGCATCTCGCGGGCACGGCGCTCCACGAGCGCGAACGAGTCCCGTTTGCGTCATCCAGGCACACACACACACACGCACGTATGCGACGCGGGCGCACGATCGACGGATTCCGACGTCCGATCCGATACTCTCAATGGCGGCGCTCGCGACCACCTGCCCTGCGCGCTCACCCCCGAGACGTCCTCGCGCCGAACAAAGGCTGCTCCCACTGGCGGTCGCCGCGCCCACGTCACCCCGGCTTCGATCCCGGGCCAAATCCGCGCGCCGACGCCA